CCAGTTTTCAGTGTTTGGGCGAGCGGTCAATGTTTTCAATGAGCGAGCGAGCGAAAAAAAAAACGCGATTAAAATGCGGTCGGTTTCCGGTCGGACAAGACCGCGTGGTCGGAAATTAAGCGATAAGCGGTCGATGTAAAAGCGGAAGGTTGGGCGAAATGAGTACTGTATGACCATGTTTCTCCGACGAAGTCTCGACTGACAATAATGCTGACAATGGACGTTAGATAAACACGCATTGTTTGCAACTGGAAGCTTATCACCCGTTATATCAGAATCGTCAACAACAGAGTATACAGATAAGATGTTATCATTTAATTCCTTCCAAAGATAAACACTATGCAAATATCCACGAAACGGCAGTTGTAGTCTTTTCTGCTAGTGTTTTAAAACACTAATTTGAGCAACGTTATTTCGCAATTTCGATCTTTTGTAAACCTGGAGTGATGTATCAAGGTCTAAAGTAACCGTTTTATCAATTTTTGAAAAATCAAGAAAAAAGTGAAAATTTCCCTTCTCGCTACCTTAAAGTATGATGTTTTTGCATTGATTTCCATAGAAACACAACAAATTTTTGGTGCACCCCATGAGACAAATAAATGAAAGACATTTTAATAACTAGATGTACCTAATTCACAGAATATACACAGTACACAGAAAGCCAGGGTGGTACTGATCAGAAAAAATGACATAGAAGTGCAGTTGCAGACAATCAGAAAAAGAGAAATAGCAATATGTAAAGTACATGCATATATATGGTAGTTTCCATGGTAACACAACAAGTAACTGTCCTTTGCAAAAATGTTAGTGATTACAGTCCCTCTATAGACCAGGCAGAAAACGGATAAATAAATAATTCAAACCTTTTACAATTGTCATATCATTAACGCAGTACATCTATAGAGGAACTGCAGTGAGACAGAATAAATGAAACACGACTTACTCGAAGCCATGGATGTGACAGTGCTTGATCAACAGTAATTCTTTCTTCTGGATCAACACTCAGCATTTTTTGAAGTAAGTCTTTAGCAGCTTCAGAGATGTGCTCCCATGCTTTAGTCTTTAGCTATTAATTAACATATAAACATTATATTCTTATTTATTTGTTTAATCACACACAAAAATCTTTATTATATCGCCTTGATTTAGTCCCAAAACCATAGGCCATGCGAGTTATTTGAAACAGAGCCATATGCCATGTGTGTTATTTGAAAGTAGAGCCATAGGTCATGTGAGTTATTTGAAAGTAGAGCATAGGCCATGTGAGTTATTTGAAAGTAGAGCATAGGCCATGTGAGTTATTTGAAAGTAGAGCCATAAACCATGTGAGTTATTTGAAAGTAGAGCATAGCCATGTGAGTTATTTGAAAGTAGAGCCATAAACCATGTGAGTTATTTGAAAGTAGAGCCATGGGCCATGTGAGTTATTTGAAAGTAGAGCCATAGCCATGTGAGTTATTTGAAAGTAGAGCCTAGGTCATGTGTGTTATTTGAAAGTAGAGCATAGGCCATGCGAGTTATTTAAAACAGAACCATATGCTATATGCGAGTAATTTAAAACAGAACTATAGGCCATGTGGGTTATTTGAAAGTAGAGCATAGGCCATGTGAGTTATTTGAAAGTAGAGCATAGGCCATGTGAGTTATTTGAAAATAGAGCATAGGCCATGTGAGTTATTTGAAAGTAGAGCATAGGTCCATGTGAGATATTTGAAAGTAGAGCATAGGCCATGTGAGTTATTTGAAAGTAGAGCATAGACCATGTGGGTTATTTGAAAGTTGAGCATAGGCCATGTGAGTTATTTGAAAGTAGAGCCCTAGGCCATGTGTGTTATTTGAAAATAGAGCCATAGACCATGTGGGTTATTTGAAAGTAGAGCATAGGCCATGTGAGTTATTTGAAAGTAGAGCATAGACCATGTGGGTTATTTGAAAGTAGAGCCATAGG